AACCAACTGAGCTGCCTGGGTGAGGTTTAGACCAACTGAGGCACCTGGAAAGGACACTCTTCAACTTTTTGAGCTGCCTACAGGCTGTTCAGTGTGCTCCAGGTTCCCTGCTTTGTGAACTGTCACCCATGCTGGGGTGGGCTTTGGTGATGCAACTGTCTGAATCATTTTGGTTCCTGTAAGTTACCCTTCACCACACACCTGTCACTAACCTCAGTAAAACTCACTGGTTAATCAAGTTGGACTTTGATGGTAGATAGGATTCTGGTACTTTTGTCTGTCAAGGGCTGCCTACCTGGGGTGAGTAGATGTATATGTTGTGTCTCCCCAGGAAAGGTTTGGTCACACAACATCACCATATGTGTTCATGGTGCTTGTGGAGGTCAGATGGCATCGGATCTCCTTGAACTGGAGTAGAGATGATTGTGAACCACCATGTGGGTACTGGGAACTAAACCTGGGTCCTCTGCAAGAGCAACATGTTTGTTTGTTTTTTTTGTTTGTTTGTTTTTTGCTTTTTTCGAGACAGGGTTTCTCTGTGTAGCTTTGCGCCTTTCCTGGAACTCACTCTGTAGCCCAGGCTGGCCTCAAACTCACAGAGATCTGCCTGGCTCTGCCTCCCAAGTGCTGGGATTAAAGGTGTGTGCCACCACCGCCCGGCTGAAGAGCAACATGTGCTGAGCCATCTCTCCATCCTTCCCTCCTTTTAGAAAATGTGGGTTCTGGGGATTGACCTCAGGTCCTCATCTTGCCTGGAAAACATGCTACTGACCAGCCTGCTACTCCAGTCTCTCGAAGCAGTTTTGAAAGTTTGGTCCTGTTCTGCCATTCCTTCCTCACTAAGGCTTGCTGGTTCCAGTGCAGAGAAACTAGAGATGGAGCCCTGTCCACTGGCGTCTCTGGATACATGATCTGTCTACACAGTCCCATCACCCACCACTCCCCCACGGCCATCATGTGGCACCATTCAGACTTTCCTTCACTCTCTGGCTGTTTCATCTCTCTTTACTGAGCCCAGGAAGCAGCCACCTCCTACTGTCATGACTAGACAAGCCTCCTTGGCCGGTCTGTGACAGATCTCTGATATAAAGGCATGTCCATAAGGCCCCAAAGTTAGGGCTCTTAAATATCTTCATTTATTTTCTTTTGAATTAAGGTTTCCTGTAGCCTAAACTGGCCTTGAATTCACTATCTAGCAGAGGATGACATTGAACTTCTAGGATCCTCCTGCTTTGACCTCCTGAGTGCTGTGATTGCACACTTGTGCCACTGAGTGGTGGCATCACTAGTTTTATACAGTGCTGGGGATCGAACCCAGGGCCTCATGCATGCTAGGCAAGCACTCTACCAACTGAGCTACATCCGCATCCCCCGGCTTCCCACTTCTGATTTTTTTTTTTTTTTGATTAAGACTGGACAGTGGTGGTGCACACGTTTAATCCCAGCATTCAGGAGGCAGAGGCAGGTGAATCTCCGAGTTAGAGGCCAGCCTGGTGTACAAATCAAGTTCCAGGACAGCCAGGGTTATACAGAGACACTGTCTCAAAAAACAAAACAAAACAAAACAAAAAAAACCAAAAAACAAAAAACAAAAAACCAACCAACCTAACAAAAAAAGGATGAAAAAAACCATGTCATCAAAAGGAAGATTTTTTGAAAGGAGCTCAGAGAACCTCTAACACAACCCACGAGGTGCTATCAAAGTGGTTAGCAGTGTGGCCTTGGAGGCAGGTGAACCTGCTTCAAATAGTGGCTGCTTCCTTTACTAGCTGCTTCCTTTACTAGCTGCGTGACCCCAGATAAGGCAGGCAGTCTCTCTGCGCCTCTTCACCCATGGGGAGGATCTGATCTTTTCCACTTGCATGTAGTGAGGGTTAGATGTGCTAATATGTGGGGAATGATCAAGATGGCTTCTGGTACCCAGCAAATCCCAATCGGCCTGCTGTTACCGTCAACCTGTGAGGCTCTTGCTTGAATGCCCCTGTTAGATGGTACCCTTCCATTAAGCTGGACTCTACTGGCCTGTCTCTTCTTGGCTCTGCGCTCCAAGATCAGCCATAGAGATGAACCGACCAAGGTGAAACCATGCATGCTTGATGGCGTGACATCTTACATGCTCCATTTAGCCCTTTTATGGGGACCTGTAGCCCAAGAGCGTAAATATCTGAACTGATTCGGATCTACAAAAGAGGAGGATGTTGCCCTCCTGCCCAAGGCAGCCATTGCTTTGCAAAACCATTAAGCTGAACCAAGTGGTGGCAGAGCTTACCGCCGCAGTCCCTGCACTCTGCAGAGGATTTCCCGGCAGGAAGGGAACGGACTCTTGAGTTAAAGCTGAATTTGGAGCCAAGATCCACCTCTTCCTGCCTGTGAGACTGCAGTCGGCCTCCCCATTTGTAAAGTAGGCTTATTAACAATAATTCCTGGCTGGTAGGACTGGAGCAAAAATTGATGAGATGTAGTGGGGAGAGGACTGGGAGTGTAACTCACTTCTTAAAGTGCTTGCCCAGCATACACAAAGCCCTGGGTTAAAGCCCTAGCACTGGATCAACTGAGCAAGTAGCCCATGCCTGTGATCCAGCACTTGGGAAGTAGAGACAGCAGGAACACAGATTCAAGGCCACCAGTGGCTACACAGCAAGTCAACATGAAGCCCTATCTCAAAAGTAAAACGCCAGATGTTTCCTAGGTCGGTGCCTGCTGTGGGCCGCAAAAACATGAAGCAGGAATTCAGCCGACTATAGCCAAGGCTAATGTCTGGAAGAAGCAGGGCTCCTCCAGAGGAAAAGCCAAGCCTCAAGGCGTCTCGGTGACACTAGCTTTTAAATATATATTACCCAGTTCCTGCAATGATTTTCTCGTGTGCTTTTCCAATTAATTCTTCTAAGAACTTCTAACAGTGTATTTTATCCGAGTTACCTCTCAAACATCCAAAGACAAGTAAGTGGCAGACAGAATAAGCATTCCAGACTACCTGCTAGTCTCCTGAATTAAGGTAAATATCTATACGGAGACATCACCCAGGTCAGTCGGATAAGGCGGACATTAGGTACATAGCTTTGTTTCTTGTGCAAATTAAGCTCAGACCCTCCTTTCTTCCTCACGCCAAATGGCATCCCCAGAGTTCCCCTAAAACAATTAGCCCAGAATGAAGGGCTTTTTTCTTACCAGGTACATTCAAGCAGGTTTCCTAGCTACCGAGAAGACTCACCCGGCCCGACCAGAAGCAGCAGGGCAGAGGATTGCTGATGGTATGTGTAGGGAGACGGGTTATGGGAAGAGGAGAAGAAGGAACGAAGATGGAGATATGAATGAAGACAAAGATGAGAACGAGATGGAGAGAACTTAGAACTATGAGAGGACAGGAGGAGAAGGGACAGAGAGGAGCTAAGTATGAGAACACAACTGAAGCTGTGGAGATAGAATTTTGTCTTAGAAGAACAAAGTGAATGGACTGAAGAGTTTCGTTTAAGTAGATTCATTGATACCCCTCAGATTAGTACCCCCGCTGCTTGTAGCGTCTTCCCGAGGACTCTGGGAGAAATCTCCTCAGGGCAGGCACCTGAGGGGGTTTCCATAAGTGCCCAGCACAGAGACAGTAGTTAATAAATAGGAACGATTATGGGAAGAATGTGGGTGATGTGGGTCCTGGGTTTTCAACCTCAATTGAAAGGATTGTTAGCTTCTCTGTAGAAGTAGAAAAGCCTAGGTACACGGAGGGGCCCAAGTCACATAATTTGCAAGGACCTTCATCCATGTGGGCAGCCCTTAGGCTTCAGCCACTCGTGAGATCCAGGCCTATTGAGTTTGTTCTGGAGAGTGGGTGTGCGGGGGTGCGTAGGTGAACCAGACTCTGGCCATCTGTCCACTCTGCAAGCTCCTCCAAGGAGTCCCAGCTCTATTAATGTTCTCACCCGCAGTTCTGGGTGACAGCCACTAGATGTCGCTGCATAACAGAAAACAAGGTCTGCAGCAACCTGGGACTGCCAGCCCTAAGCAGTTACTTCTGTAGCCCCAAAGGGGCTATCTAGAACTTTCCTCCCACCTCTCTTCCCTGTACAGGACCCAGACACACAGAATCTGTCTCAGAACCCAGGCTGAAGACCACTTCGTATTTGCTGTTTCCTTCCTGGTGGAGAGTCCTCTTTCCCCTCTGCCCGTGCAGATTGCCAGACATGGTTGTCAGGTATGTTATCTCACCAAAGCCCCTGACCTTGAGAGCCAGATGTGTCCTCCCAGCTTGCAGAGGCAGAAACAGGCTCAGAATAGTCCTACAGAGGAGACAGTTTTGAGCTCAGACTCAGAGCAGAGCTCCTTCCACCCCATCCCATGACTGTGTCTGAGAACCTGTGGGATTCCTGTCTTTAACTGTTTGCCTCAACCCTTTGCCTAAAGAACAGGGACATGGCTCAGTAGGTAAGGCACTTGCCTCACAAGCATGAAGGTCTGAGTTTGGATCCCTGGAAACCGAGTATTGTTGTGGAATGGAATAACTGGTTAACTATGTAGAGATGTGTTGCGTTTATTTAGCTATGTAGAGATGTGTTGCTTTTATTTAGCTATGTAAAGATGTGTTGCTTTTATTTAGCTATGTAAAGATGTGTTGCATTTATTTAGCTATGTAAAGATGTGTTGCTTTTATTTAGCTATGTAAAGATGTGTTGCTTTTGTTTATGCTGCATTTGTTTAACTTGTAAAGATGTGCTGCTGTTTCACTTTGCCTACCTAAGCACCTGATTGGTTTAATAAAAAGCTGAACATCCAATAGATAAGCAGAAGAGGAATGGGGGGGGGGGCTGGTGGGCAGAGAGCAAAGGGGAACTGGCCAGCCCGCCAGAGCCAGCCAGATACGGAGGAAGCAGGAAAGCAGGATGGACAGTATAAAGATCAGGTAAACGAGCCTCGGGGCAGCACGTAGATTAAGAGAAATGGGTTAGTTTAAGTTAAAGAAAAAAAAAAGAGCTAGCTAGAAACAAGCCTAAGCTAAGGCCAGGCATTCATAATTAATAATAATAAGTCTCTGTGTCATGATCTGGGGGCTGGCAGTCCAAGAAAGCCTGCTACAACGTATAAAGCTGTGTGTGGAGGAATGGACTTGTAATTCCAGCCAATGCAGGATGGGAGACAGGCAGATTCCTGGAAGCTCGGGGACCAGATAGCATGACTTATGTGGCAAAGTTCCAGACCAGTGAGAGACTGTGTCTCAAACAAAATGTGGAAGGAGCCTACGGTGGTCAGTGTTCATTGTCAGCTTGACAGGACCTAGCATTTACTGGGAGATGGGCTACAGGGTATGCTTATAGGAAGGGTTATTTTGTTTTGTTTTTTGATACAAGGTCTGTCTCTTTAGGCCTGGCTGACCTGGTACTTGATATTAGACTAGGCTGACCTCAAACCCACAGAGGTCTCCCTGCCTCTGCCCCTGGATTAACCGACGGGGAAGATCTATTTAAATTAAGGACGTACCATTTCCTGTCCTGGGGAGGAACCTGGACTATGTAAAATGGAGAAAGCTAGCTGAACAGTAAGATGTATTCATTGGCTGTTTTCTTAGAGGGTATAGGATATCCTGGAGCTGGAATTACAGATGACTGTGAGTCATCTGAAGTGGTGTTTTCTGAAAGAGCAGGAAGTGCTCTTAACCACTGAGCCACCTCTCCAGACCCTGATTTCTGCTCTCTAGTTGTACATGTAATGAAACCAGCTATATCAAGCCTCTCTTACCCTGACTTCTCTGCCTTGCTGGGCTGTATGCTTGAACTGAGAGCCCAATAAACCCTTAGCTTGCCTTTTTCAGAGTATCTTGTCAAAACAACAGAAAAAGAAACCAAGACAGAGCCTAAGGTCATACACTGAGGCTGCCCTCTGGCACGCACTTGCATACGGTGTTGGTACATACATTCGTTTACACACACACACACACACACACACACACACACACACACACACACACACGGCATCTCCCTCCAGGGCTTTCCTTAGCTCAGTAGATGGCCTTTTTCATGCACTGGTGCTTGGCTAAGTGCTTCGTTTGTGCTGCAACCCACAGGCAGTTGTCATTATTGTCCCTGTCTTCCAGAAAGGGCTACTAAGGCACACACACCCTGGACCAAGTTTCATATGTGTTTGGTGGCAGAGCCACGGCCCGTACCACCCAGCTTCAGAACCTGAGCTCAGGCTGTGACCTCTTCCCCAGGGGTGGCGGAGCAGCACTGACTGCTCTCTGCCTTTGCCCGGGGCGTGCCCCACCGATGACCTTCTCAATCTTCCCGTGATTCCTGTGTGGAGTGCCCAGGAGCCTCTCTGTTGGCAAGCTGGAGCTGCTTGGTGGAGGCAAGGCTGAGTGCCCCTGACCTCTGGGCTGAGTCATGACTTTGGAGGGTGAGAATCCGGTGTGCCTCGGTTTGTCCTGAAGCCCTCCTAGACGCCCTCCTAGACGAGGGTCAGTTCTGAAGCCAGGGCTTCTCTGTCGTGGTATGAAGTGCTCATGATCCCTGGTGCTGGTAGGGCTAATGTGACGTGCAGATATCTGAGGCAGGGCAGCCCCTTTCTCTTTCTGTTCCTTTTCCTCACAGGTCACTTGTCCCAGAAGAGAAGTTCACACACTCATGACAGCTGAAGGCAGAGAATCTACAGCTGGCTGTTAACCCCCGGTGTGTTCAAAATGAAATGATTTGAAGTTCCATTTGGGCCGCAGCATTGACTGAAAGCAGCAGTGATGGCAGAACTTGCACCCCAATAATTGGCAGACCCTGATCAGAGTGCCCCCTCTCCTCCTAGAGATCCAACTGTCACAGTGTTTACAAGGCTGAAAACCAACTGGAGGCATGCAGGCTGTTAGGGCAATCCCGGGGAGCTGGCTGGGGGCTGCCTGGAGACAATAGCTTGCAGGTAAGTAACAGTGTTGCCCCCTTCCTTCCATCAAGAGCTGGACCCACACTTTCCTGCCAGAAGTTACATACTTAAGATGGAGAAGTGAGGTCCTGAAAAGGAAAGACACCTTATGAAAGCCAGCAAGCCTGGTTGGAGCTGCTGCGGTTATTGGCCATATACCAAGAGCCCCAAGCTCATGGGGGAGTCTGGGAGATTGTAAGAGGTAATGTGTGTAAAGAGCTTAGCACAGATTTGGCTGGAGCAGAACAGAGTAAACATTAATTTACCAAGAGGCATAAGAATGGGATCAGGATCCACCCACATGGAATCTCAATTGGGTTATTTTTTTGATTTTGAGATCTCTGGCTGGTCGAGCTGCTTTGCCTATCTAAGCCTCTTGTTCCCCAGCGAAGAGAGGATAATAATAGCTACCTGGAAGAGCCGATAGGAGGATGGAGATAAAGGATGTAATGTGTCTGGTGAGAAGTGGGTACTCTATAAACGGGAATGATTGTCCAGGGTTATCGCTTATTTCACGTCAGTTAGGACAAACAACTGTTCGTGGTCTTGTGCAGGCAGCTGGGCCCAGAGTCATGGAGATAGGACCAAGTCTGGGCCATGCCTGACGCTCCCCTCTTGGGCAGGTCAGCCCTTCAGTGGGCCATGGCTTGAGAAGGGCTTCAGAGGCTTGGGACGCTGTTGCTAGGTGCTGGTTGCCAAGCAACACTCTGTTTCTTCTAGCTTGGCCATCTCCACCTCAGGAGGGCCGGCTTCTCAGCAGCTCCTGCCTCCTGTGGCCTCTGCCGACCTCAGAGACAGCTGCAGAGGGCAGGTGAGGGTGGGGCCTACTGTCTAAGGCCCCAGGAGAGCACAGTGAGCTTCCAGAGGGAGCGGGGTGGGGAAGGAACTGAGTAAAAGATGGAGGTGAGGGGTATGTCTCACAGGAGAGAAGAAGTCCCAGGTAGGCAGTGATCTGGTCATGTACTCCATAAGACACACGCGTGTGTGTGTGTGTGTGTGTGTGTGTGTGTGTGTGTGTGTGTGTGTGGGTGTGGGTGTGGGGTGGTGTCAGACCAGAGGACTAGGATTCAGATACCCCGGGTCTGAATCCCAGCTCTTGGCTCTTGTCAAGAGCTTCAGTTTATTCCTCGGCACTGAAGCCTCTTGGCTTTAAAATGGGGGCGGCATTTGAAAGCTGGTGTGAGACAAGCCACACGTGTGAGAGTGTGAGAATTCAAGATGGGTTCTTCCTTTGGCTTGAGGTGCAGTGTCCAGAAACGGGAACAGGGGCCTTACAAGAAGGACTCGAGTCTGTGGGGGTGATTGCCCCTGCTGGGGTTGGAGCCTGGGACCAGGACTCCTGAGGGCCTCCCGGGTTTCTTCTCAGGCCTGCGGGGCCCTGCCCCACAGCATCATGATGGGAAAACTCCCTCTCGGGGTTGTCTCTCCTTATGTGAAGATGAGTTCGGGGGGGTGCTCTGACCCTCTGAAGTTTTATGCTACCAGCTACTGCACAGCCTATGGTGAGGACCCCCCGATGTGGGACCCTGGGTGGGAAGAGGGGCCAGGAGAGGCACAGTCTCTAGGAAAATCCTACTACGGTGACCTGCCGCACAGAGCTGTTCTACTATTCCCGGAACCCAAGGGCTCACACTATCCAGCTGGCCTTGTCCAGCCACCCCCTTGTCTTGTCACTGCAGTGAGTCTGCCACATGGTTCTTGTGTCCCCACGCCATTGGCTCTGTTTCCTGCCATCATAGTCCCCTGAAGGGCCAGGTCTACCCAGCTCCCATCACCTAGGGTGTTGGGTATTCCCCTGGCTTAGTGGCTCCTGGGCCCTGGGGGATGCTGACACTGGAAGCCACGCCTCCTTTTCTGATGACCTTTGACCCTGTCTTGCTCCCTGGCAGGTCGGGAGGAGTTCAAGCCCCGAATGGGGAGCCACGTAGGCACAGGCTACAAGTCCAACTATCGGCCCCTGGTCTCCTACCAGCCCCACCTGGACACCCTGGAGAATCCAGCCGTGGGGTACGGTTTCCGTTGCCCCCCTTTCCTCCCACCTCTGCCCTGCTGGATTTCAGCTACCAGAGATGTCATTGCCCCGCGCTCCAAGGCAAAGCCTGGCAGCCCTCAGCCCGAGAACAAAGGCAGGAAAGGCGGGCAGATGGCGCCGGAGGTCACAGCGCTTACCTCCTCCTGCCCCTTAGGGAACAAATCCGGGACACTTCCAAGTCTGTGACCAGTCAGAGCTACTCTCCCCTAGAAGTGCCCGATGGCAAGCACTCCCTGCCCTGGAACCTGTACCAGACCACCTCTGGCTATGGGCGAGAGAAGCTCAATTCGGGGCCGCTCTCCAAGGAGGTCAGTGCTGGGCCCATGCTGGGAAGGAGGGAACCCAGGATGTGTGCAGGAAGGCAGGGAGGGTGGGTTCCTTCGAGCAAGCAGGAACAGTGCTTCCAACCATCGCACAAAGCTCAGATGACAGTCTTGGGTGGGGGAGCACTCCCCAGTGTGACCTTCCCGTCATCCACGCTGTCCCCACCGCCACCCTCCCCTCCATTTCTCCCCACAGCCCTGTCACCACCCTCCCCTCTACTCCATCCTCCCAGATGCCAGGGTCCTACTCCTGTTCAGAGCCTTTGCCACTACTCTCCCCACCTCCCACCCGCGCATAATCACCCCCATCTTCTCTGCTTCTGTTGTCTATCGCCACCATTCAAGTCACCACCGTGGTCCTGAGGATGGCTGTTCCTTCATCCAGCCAATCTGTTCTGAACACATTTTGACTTTGGAGGGAGTGTGCTTAGGCTGTAGCTCAGTGCTTAGGGTGCTTGCCTAACATCCATGAGACTCTGGGTTCCATCCCCAGCACTTCATAAACCAGGCATAGTGGTATTTACCTGTAATCCCAGCACTGGGGAGATGGAGGAGGCAGGATAAGGAGTTCAAAGTTATCCTTAGCTACATATCAAGTTTGAGGCCAGCCTGAGCCACATGAGACTGTATCTCAACTTTGATGATGATGGCAGGAGATATGGCTCAGAGATTAAGGGTGTTTGCTGCTCTTCCAGAGGATGTGAGTACAGTTCCCAGCACCCACATCAGGAGACTCATAACTGCCTGCAACTCCAGCTTTAGGATATCTGATGCCCTTATCTGGCCTCTGTGGACACCTGTCTACATGTGACATATATAAGCACAGACACATAAAATACTAATAAATCTGTTTTTTTTTTTTTTTTTTTTTTTGGTTTTTCGAGACAGGGTTTCTCTGTGTAGCTTTGCACCTTTCCTGGGACTCACTTGGTAGCCCAGGCTGGCCTCGAACTCACAGAGATCCGCCTGGCTCTGCCTCCCGAGTGCTGGGATTAAAGGCGTGCGCCACCACCGCCCGGCATAAATCTGTTTTTTAAAAAGATTTAATTATTACTATATAGGCATGTGTGCCTGCCCACCAGAAGAGGGCACCAGATCTCATTACAGATGGTTGTGAGCCACCATGTGGTTGCTGGGAATTGAACTCAGGACCTCTGGAAGAGCAGCCAGTGCTCTTAACCGCTGAGCCATCTCTCCAGCCCCACTAATAAATCTTTTTATTTTAAAAAATCGGAAGGAGGGGCTGGAGAGATGCCTCAGAGGTTAAGAGCACAGACTGCTCTTCCAGAGGTCCTGAGTTCAATTCCCAGCAACCACATGGTGGCTCACAACCATCTGTAATGAGATCTGGTGCCCTCTTCTGGCCTGCAGGAATATATGCTGTATACATAATAAATAAATAAATCTTTAAAAAAAAATCAGAAGGAGTAAGAGCAGAGGAAAATACGTGAGGAAGGAAGATGAAATACAAGCCCAAGGGCTGGGAAAGAGGTTACTATGGAGACACTGGGCAAGGTTCAAAAGAGGCTGCATCATCCCTCTAGCTATCAAAGGGATGTGTGTGCCCCGCAGTACATCTGTGCAAAGGCCCTGAGGCAGGAGTCTCTGGTTGTGAGGCTCAACAAGGAGCTGAGGGCTTGCAGCAGCCTGAGGACGCGACGTCCCTATGGACCCGCTGTCAGGGTGTGAGAGTCACTGTGAGCAAGACATTGCAAACTCTGATGCAGGAGGGACCCCCTGGCTGCACCGTACCAGAGCCACATAGACTGCCGTGAAGGTGGTCTGTGGAATGGAGGGGGACAGTGATCGGCACCCCTCACCTGCCAGGTCAATCACTTGCACTCCCTCCTCCAGGTGAGGAAGGTCCACTTCGACACCCAGGATCACGGGCCTCAGACCATCACAGGGCTGGAGCCCAAGGAGGTTCCCCTGCTCCACCAGCAGCAGGGCAAGGGCTCTATGGAGTGGGAGAACTCGCACTATGTGAGTGGATGTCTGCTCTGGCTGGAATGGGAAGGGCTGTGGGACCACACCGGCCTCCTCCCCCTGCAGAGCTTGGACCTGTGATTACTCTCTCAGGGAGCTACTGCATGTGGGCTCGGGCCCCCGTGAAACACTGTAGAGAGCAAGGCATTTTCAATTTGATAGTTATCCAACTGCATCCAAGTGGCCACCATACCCTGCCCTGTCCCGTGTGTCCCAGGACCAAGCTTACGTGTATTCCATCAGCTTTTCCCCCTTCATCACGACCCCCCTTTCTTCTGTGTGAGTTCCTCAGGGTCATTTCCAGGAACTCAGCATGGTGCGTGACTTGGAATTATCATGGAGGCATCTGGCATGCCTCATCAGGCGTATTAGATGTCTTTCGGGGTGTTGTGCTAGTCTCCTCCTCTAAGGCTCACTGGGAGTTCATATATCCAAAGAGCTGCCACCACCGTCACGGAATGCTCACCTTCCACCCTGGCCCACTGTGTCCCTATTGCCCTGGCTTGTGTGTTCCAGGGCCCACGCTTCATGACTTCTGAGTACAATTCCAAGTATATCAAGGAGACTCCAAACCACCCAGGTAGCCCCCCCCCCCCAAGCTCGGCCTTCCTTCTCCAATCCCTTGGGGAGACTCCAGGGGGATTGGAGCTAGTACAGTTCTCAGAAGCCACCAGGGGAGAAAGGACGACAGACATCCAGGTGGCTTGAGGGAGCTGGGTCCCGGGGCTGATCTCAGTGCCCTGGCCTGCTGATGTAGCAGGGTCACTAGGGCCTGACCACGGCTACTCCTGGCCTGTTAGTTCCTATTCTTCCTTCTGCTTTCCTGGCCTCGACCCTGGAGTCTGTCCCTCTCCTGCTGGGACACAGAGAACTGTGGCTTTTGCAGATCTCTTGCTCAAGAAGACAATCGGTTCCAAAGAAGAAACTGGGTTCACTGAAGAGTCTACCAAGAATCCCATCGTCTTCCAGCCACCCTCACAGGCGTTTCCCGGGGACCCTGTGAGTGTTGTTTCAGGAGCATTGAAATTCTCAAGACTAGGGGTCTGCAGTCACTTTTTAAACTTCTGACACAAAGCCCTCCAGTCAAGTATGGAGTGAAAGAGCATTAAAGAACACCACTACCGTGGTTCAGGGCATCCCTTTATAGATGAGAATACTGAGGTCCAAGTAAGTGAGGGGGCAGGGCCAAGGTCACTCAACGCTCAGATGGAAACTTTCCCTGCTGGCTCCCATTCAGGACCATGGGGTTGGTCATTCCACCCAAACTCCACTTATTCCTCAGGTGCACTGCTCACACCCGTCCGTACAGAACCCCTCTGCATGCCTGGCACAGTGGGGGCTGGAATCAGAGGGTGTGGGAGCCACTGAGGGCAAGGGAGGCTAGGCTGATTTCCCACTGTGCACCCCTCTCCAGATCCTCCAGCCAGGACGGAGTGTCACCAAGTCAGACTACCTCCCAATAAGTCACCCTCAGGTAAGTGCTGTGCTCCTAGGGGGCCAGGGCCACCTGTGGGGACAATTGCACCTGGCTTGGAATTGTGAAGGGGTGGTACTCATGGCTGCTTTGCTCCTTCAGGGAAGTGAGTTTCTGCCTGTGCTGGCCAGAGGCTCTGATCGAGACACAGGATACAGCCGAGTGAATGAAAGGACCTTGAACCCCAGAGTGAGTGACAGGGGCCCAGCAGGGAAGAATGGGAGCAGGCAGACTATCTGGAGAGGCAGATGAAGGGTGTCTCAGATGGAACGTAAAGCTGGGGACTGAGCCGGGCGGTGGTGGCGCACGCCTTTAATCCCAGCACTCAGGAGGCAGAGGCAGGCGGATCTCTGTGAGTTCGAGGCCAGCCTGGGCTACCAAGTGAGTTCCAGGAGAGGCGCAAAGCTACACAGAGAAACCCTGTCTCGAAAAACCAAAAAAAAAAAAAAAAAAAAAAAAAAAAAAGCTGGGGACTGGGGCAGAGAGGTGTGTTTTGAAACTTGGAATGATTTGTCAGGGTGTGGAAGCACCCTGCCCATCCTTCCTCAGTTTTACGACCTCAGCTAGCCATCCAGCCTCCCATTTTGTGGCTCTACTCCCTACAGATGCCTACTCCAAGTCCACAGCCCACCAGCATGAGCCACAGGTCCTACCAGCCACCCCAGCGGATGCAACAGACTAATGTTGCCCTGCTTGGCAGGGAGTCTGTGGGGAACAAGGTAACAGCGCCACACCCACCCCTACCCCTAAGAACGGCGCCTGAGTCCTGAACATCCTGTCTTCATCTTGTGCAGGAGCCCACAGGATTCACGATTAACAACCCCAGCTATGTCCGGGGCTCCTATGAGTCTGACAGAGATCAGCGGTACCTGACTACCTACAACCAAGGGTAAGGCTCCCCTCCGGGCTGAAGGCTGAGACCCATTTGACAGACTGTAAATGAGGCAGGGCAAGTAATGAGGCCATAACCTCTGGAAGGAGAACCAAGACCCACACTGAACTCTCCCAGAAACGGACCGTCAGCCGAGCATCCCATGCCAGCCCCTCACTGGCAGAGTGGTCTTTAGGGGGCTTATGGAAGTTGAATGCAAAGGAAAGGCAACAGTGATGGGCTGTTATGAGGCCAGCTGTCCTGTGGCAGAAACTCTAGACAAAAGTGTAAGGCACACAGCTCCGAGCTGTCCCCACCTGAGGGTGAGAGCCAGGACAATCACATCCCAGACCCATTAGTCACTAGCTGAAAAGCTGTCCCCAAGGTGACATTACGTTTCCTGGGGGCTCCTTGTTCAGGAGAAGCAGGTCTAGCAGCTCCAAGGGAGGGCGCTCTCACAGACAGGCAGATAAGATACTAGGACCAGTCTGGTGGGCTCGGGAATGGTAAACGAATGCAGGGGTCTGCAGCAGCAGCAGCAGCAAAAAACATCAGTTGCTAAGTTACTGCATCCACCACATGCCAGGTAGGCTCAGTGCTCGCTCAGCAGGTAAGCTCTGATCCATGACTCAGGCCTGGAGGAGGGCTTCCAGGGGAGGCAGCCAAAGAGATGGGGGGGGGGCAGCTTCTGAGACCAGGGCCGGGGGGTGGGGGACGCATCTAGGAGCAGCAGAAAAAGGACAGTCTTGCTATGTGGCCCTGAATTGCCTGGAACTTTCTCTGTAGACCAGACTGGCCTAGAGCTTGTGGCAATAACTCCTTCTGTCTTTGTCTCCTGAGTGCTAGAATCACACATTTATTAGCCCATTCCAACAGGAAGTATTTTTTGGGGAGCGGGGGAAGCAGAATCCTAGAGTTGGGAAAGCCAGGGTTCCTCCCAGCACACCTCTCATCAACACACACACACACACACACACACACACACACACACACACACACACACACGCACCTACTGTCCCCCAATACCTGAGTCTTCCAAGTTCCTCTGGCTTGTCAGGCTTCCCTTCTGCTACTCCTGTTCTAGGGTCCTTCCTGTTTTCAGAGTCTTGACAGAGGGCAGATATTAGCCTAGGTCGGGTGGGCAAACCATGTGATCACATGGGCGGAGAGGAGGAACAGGAAGCTGGGATGAGGGTGCTGTAAGAAGGTAGCATTGGAGTCTAGACTGCAGAGTACCCTGACTGAGGACCAGCCAGCAATAGAGGTCTGAGCTAGAAGAGCCTTTGGTGGCTTCTGAGCTAAACCCTTGGGCCTCAGCTTGGGAGCACAGTAACTTCTCTCCTTCTCATAAAGGCGATGGGGAAAAGGGAGCATTTTGGGTGTTGGGGGACAAAGATCTGTCCCTCTTTAGGTGACCGCTCCCCTTTTGAGGCCCCCATAGGCCCTCCTCAGGCAATAGTCTTTACTGCAAGTCCCTACCCTGCCCACACACCCGCCCCCATTACCTGTCAGGAATTCCTGCCAGGTATCAGGCATCCTGTTTCTTGCTGGAGATCCCCAAACCCCCAGGGGTTGTAATCACTGATTTCCAAATGGACCTATGGGCATCCTGGCACTCTATCTTCATAAGCCAAGAGTGGGGTCCAAGTCTTAGTCATTTTGTGTCTCAAAACTTGGCCTAAGTCTCAGCTCTTTGGGTGGATGGAAGGAAAGCAGAGGCTTAGGGGAGCCTGGTGGAGCAGGGCTCCTCCCTGGGTTCTGGCAGGGTCACAGGTTGGTATACCACAGATCCTCTTCATTGCTCTTCACATCTGTCTCAGCTTTGGAGCGAGGGAGAGGCACTCAGCTCCAGGAACGAGAACAGGCTTCCTGAGTGAGAATGTCCTTGGTGGGCAAGGCCTCAGGTGTATGGGCAGAGGCGAGGGGACTGAAGAGCTCCGAGGCCCAAGATCAGTTGGTAGTGAAGGGTGGGGCAGGCCTCAGAAAGAGGTGAGTGGTGGCCAACGACCCTTGTACTATATTAGGTACTTTGAGAACATCCCCAAGGGGCTGGACCGAGAAGGCTGGACTCGAGGCGGCATCCAGCCCCAGAAAGCAGGAGGCTACGCCCTCAATGAGCCGGTTACCCGCATGGATGCCACCCCCAACCCCACGGAGACCCTGCGGCACCTGCACCCCCATGTTGCAAGGTAGCATGCCCCCTCAGCTCTGCCGCTGTCCGGTTTCCTCGCTTGGCGGCCTCTTCCAGGCTGTGGTATCTGTGAGGCCGTTTCCTCTGGCCTCCTACCTGCCCAGATTCATTCCCTCGGCTCTGTCTAGTGAATGAACTGTGGGCCTGCCCCTCCTGTGACTCCTGCTCAGTTCTTCCAAACCTCCACTTGGACAGTAAAGGCTCCAGTTGGCAGGCAGAGAATGTCTGTGGTTTGGCTGTCCTTGTCTGGGCCTTGCAGGCTCTTGGGATCTCAGGGAGGGAGGCAGAGGAGAGAGGCGCAAGCCTGGTCCCCCACCCACTATCAGCTTCCTTTCTTCCCGCAGAACCTTGACTTCAGTTGACCCCTACTACCGAGACATACCTCATAGCAACCGCTACACGGCTTCCAGTTGAATCTGGAGGGGTAAGGGAACAGGATACCCTCCTGCACCCCCTCCCCAGGGGAAGACATCATTGGCCAGCTCCCTTCCCAAGCCCTGGGTTAAGCTAGGCTTTGAGGGATGGGAGTCAGGATGCCCTTTGTTTCTGCTGAAGAGTGTTCACCCTGGGGCCTTCCCTCAGACCTTGTCTTTGTTCCTTCTACCCAGGTTTGTCGTGATGGGGCAAGCTGCTTTCCCTGTGGTCCCCAAGATCCCCCCAGTTACTTTCCTAAGGAAATAAAGAACACTGAATCAGCACAGAATTGCAGTCTTTGTGCGGCAGGGTGGTGCTCGGCAAAGGGATCGAGCTAGGGTGTGTCTGGGTAGAGGGTTCAAGGCCAGATTTGGAGTCGAGGGACTTGTTGAGCTTCTGAGGCTCAGCAGACAAGATGCACCATTGGTTCCTGCCCTGTTGAGATAAGCTCCTCAGTTTGTGCTGTCTAGGATAGTGATCAGTCGGGCCAGGGTGGAGCTGGGATGCAGGGGAGGGGAGGGGAGGGCCAGAGGGCAGGCGTGGCGAGAGACCAGTTACTGAGTTTCCTGGGTCTGGTTACCTCTCTAAAATGGGAACACAGATTAAAGCAGGACTTCTGGGTCCCACTTTTGGCCTCAGAAGAGAGAAGTCTATAGGGATAGACCAGGAAAATGCCAGAGAGGTGGAGAGGACTCTGATAGATGGGCAGCTAGACACGAGCACAGGGTCGAGGGCTGACGACAAAGGCTGAGTCTCCCTCCCGCCAAGCAACCAGAGGAAGACAACATCTTCTTTGAGAATGAGAACAAGTTGTCTGTTAGAGGGATGCCCCACTGAGCACAGTTCCCAATGAGCAAATGTGTGGGAAGACAGGGCAGCCGGACACCGGAGCTCCTCACCTGCAAGGCAGAATCTAGCCTGTCTCTTAGCACCTGTTGCCACTCAGCCAGGTACTTGTTCAGTACACAGCTGTGCAACTACATGCCATGGTTCTCTTAGCGACAACCCCTTGTCCCCCAGGAGCCTAGCTCCTAAAGAGGTATGTCAGTTACTCGGGGTCCTGGAGGGCAGCCAAATGGCAGCAGTCCTGAACTTGGGGGTGTCCTCTCAAAGCCCAAACTGGCATGAGGAGGGGATGGCCACTCAGGGCCCAGCAGCCATTCACTACCCCTGTGTCCTTTTGTGCTTCTCAGTGGATATCCATGTTGCAGTTTTGCTGGCCCTGGAGCCCAGCTGTACCCAGTGCAGTCCTATGTAGCAGGCCTGGGGGCTGTCCACAGCCTGGCAGGGGCTCCATGTGGGCTGTGGGAGGCTCCAGCTGGTTCCAGGGTTGGAAGAGGGGAGTCAGGGACACATAGTCTCTGGGCTCCAAACCCAACCAGACTCAGGGCCCAGTGACAGGCTCACAGGCTGTGCGTGGGGACTTGCTGGTCCATGGCCTACAACATTAGGGGTGAGTCACCAACCCGAGACAGGCCTGGGTCCCAACAATGTCCTATCATAACTTCATAGTGGGGTGAGGGCACCCTTCTTTACCTAGCCCCTCCCTGCCCAAACACACACACACACACACACACACACACACATACACACACACACGCATGCATGGACAACACAAAAGCACACACAAGCAGTTAAAAAGGACACAGAGCCCTGAAGATGCCTATATACAAACACACAGGCACATCTACACCAACAAAATATAACAGTTGCACACTTGGTCATGGTGGCACATATCTGAGGAGCACTGGTGAGGTGGAAACAGGAGGGTCAGGAATTTAAGACCATCCTCAGCTACATGGGCCAGCCTGGACTACACGAGACCTTGTTTCAGGAAAACTTAAAAAAATAACAAATGACATGAGCACATCTGGAAACACAAGAAGAACATGTACACTATACATAGGTGTTTACACGAGCACCTAAGACACTTACATATGCACATCTAGACACAGTGATGACCAAGGACTCGGGAATGCAGACACATGAAAATAGACATACAAGGGGTCGGGGAGATGGCTCAGTCAGAAAATCATTTGTTGCACAGCATGAAGAGGAGTTTGGATCCCCAACACCTATGGACGAAAGCTGGGCACAGTGACATGTGTCTTCGGTCTCAGTGCTGGGCAGGCAGAAACAGGAGATCCCTGGAGCTTCTGGAGACAGCCTGGCTGAATCCATGAGCTTTGGGTTTGGTGACAGACTATCTTAAAAAATAAGTTGGAAAGCAATTGAGAAAGACATTCAAGGTAAAACTCCACCCCTCTCCTAAGTATGAACGCATATGCGTGCGTGCACACATGCACACACATACATACACCACACACACACACAAATGGATATGCATATAGCAACTTACAAAGCAAACACACACACACACACACACTGACACATATGCACATCCACACACATTCACACACCCACATACATTCACCACTCCCAACCCCACTTCACTTCTTGAATCTGTTTCCCCAGGAGAGTCACTTTACAGCTCATGTTTCCTGCTTGTTCTATTTCTCTAACTGACCCAGCAGGGGACATGGTGTCTGTGTCGGGGACACTAGAGTCTGATAACACCCGTTCTCCATTGCTTCTCCTTATTCTGTGCCCTGCATGCCCAGTTTCCAGGACATGTGAGATGATGCGCCCAATAATGATTCTTGAGCAGGGGCTGTGGACTCAGCCTCCAAGGAGGGGTGAAGATATACTGTGTGTTCCCTGAATTTCTGTTTCTGTCTACAGCAGGGGCTACAGCCTGCTTCCCGGTAGACAACTCATGGGTCCTTGTTTGGGTCCTCTGCCCCAGTCCAAGAAACTCTGTGAGGACAAGGTAGCATAAGGGGCAGGAAGGATGTCTAGAAAGGGTCAAGGTTGAGCCATGGTGGTAGCTGTAGGGTCCCTGCTTGGTAGGCCTGAGTTGTCTCAGGCCACATAGCCATAAGGGATGTGAATAAGGCCTGCTGGTAAGGGGTGGACTTGGAACCCTTCAGTGGCAGCTATGGCCTGGTAGGGTCACTCAGCCCCAAGTCAAGTTTGCTTCCTTAGAGACCTTTGCAATAGGCCTAAAGGGAGCTGAGGTGCAGGAGGACAGTGACAGATGGGCTGAACCCGGGGCATGGCTAGGGCCTTAGAAATGGGTACTCTGGAGAAGGCAGGCTGTTCAGATCTGAAGACCTTGCTCGTGGCCCTCCATATTCACCTCCTGGCTGGTAAGACTCAGCAGGGGGCACAAACAGCATTTGTCTAGTTCACAACTGACACACCAGAGACCAGCACAGTGCTGTCTAGAATGTTTGGAAGAACATGGGGAATATAGGTCAGTGGATGGGTGGGTGGGTGGATGGATGGGTGGGTGGATGGATGGGTGGGTGGATGGATGGGTGGGTGGATGGATGGATGGATGGATGGATGGGTGGGTGGATGGATGGGTGGGTGGATGGATGGGTGGGTGGATGGATGGATGGATGGATGGATGGATGGATGGGTGGATGAGTGGGTGGGTAGATGGGTGGGTGGATGGATGGATGGATGGGTGGATGGATGAGAGGATGGATGGATGGATGGATAGATGGATGGAAGGATGGATAGATATATAGATGGATGGGTGGGTGAGTGGATGGAATTATACTGTCTGCCTTGGAAGTACCAGATGTGTGTTTCTGGGTGTCGCCTGCCCTGACGATGACGGGATGTTGGTCAGCAGGCTCCTTGCATCTGTGCAGCAGACAGCTGAGGCTCTTGTGTGCTCCCTGCCAGCCTCCTTGGCTGTGACCCTCAGGACATCTTCTGTGCTCTTTGTGACTGCACTGCCCTTTCAGCCTCCCCTTCCCTGTCTGTCATCCAGCCTCTCTGACCGATCCTAGCAGCTTTCCTCTTGGGGCGAAGGGACCCTACATTTCAACCTGGTGGGTGAGTAATTAGTCTGTCTAACCTGGCAGGGAGGCTGGCCCTGTGCATGGCTGGGCCCCACCCGTTCCCAGGGTCACACTCTGCCAGACCTTTGTGGCAGCTGACTACCGTAGATCTTCCAGAATGCTTCCTTCCCCACGCTACAGGTATCTTAGAAAAGGTTCCAGGGGTGCCATGCTCATGATTAACCTTTATTCAGCTCCCACGGCTTGCCAGGTGCTGAGAATACTCCGTGGGCCTTCCCCTCTGCAGCTAGAGCACAGAGTGTCTCCCTGTGGGGGCATGTTGAGGACACATGTAGGCAGGGTGGTGACGGCATTAGGGTGGGGTGCAGAGTAGGGCAGAGAGGGAGTGAAGCTGGGCCAGGCCGTACCTCTTACGCACAGGGACATGTGTGAGGCTGCTGCCCGTCATAGCAGCATGGCAGCTGATGTTGACAGGTACCATCTGGCCTGGAGCACGTGATGACGCAGAACCAGTAGCTCATGGGCTTGACAGCTGGCCAGCTGGGAAAATGGGGCTCCCAGGAGAGTGAAGAGGGGGCTTGTTCAAAGGCATCTGTCTGTGGGAACTGGAGGCTCTGGGCGGGCTGGGGGCTGGGGATGGTGGGCATGGTACACACAGGCAGATGGAGTACATGAAACTTCTCTGATTTCCTCTCTGACCATCTGGAGAGCCACCCATTCCCCAGGAACTGTTCCCCAAACAACCACACATGCAGAAGGGAGGAATGGGACCAGGGGCCGCCCACCCAGGGTTTCTCTTGAAGAGTCAGGGCCCCTGAGTACTTCTGGCTTCCTCCAGGTGCCGCTCCAAACAGATCTGCCAAAAAAAAAAAAAAAAAAAAAAAAAAAGTCTTTGAGGAATACACGTCCTCCCCCAACTCCCAAAGACCTTTGGAATAACCAGGTCAACCTGAGTCAGAGAGAAGAAGCCACCTGCCCAAAGTCATGTGATTTAGTGAGCACATACTGTCTCTGGACCTTTTTATCAGGTCACTTAATTGGGGGCCTGGGATGGGCAGGAGCCTAGAAGCTTCTCATTTGCGGCCAGTGACAATAAGGGCTTCATTTACTTTTGTGCTAAATGGAGAGGATATGAGTGTTAGAATGTGTAAGGTGTTTGTGTGTGTTTGTGTGAAGTCCTAGGTAAACAGCCAAGTCAGAGAGGCAACTGCCCGCCTGACCTAAGCTCGGATGATGCTAAGCTGTTTTCAGCAAAGATGTTATGAGCTCCAGTGTCCAGTGACAGGTATGGACCCTAGGCATCCAGTCTTACAACAGTCACCTTCTCCCACTGGGCCCTGGTACCATAGGCAGAAGGCTGACACTGACAACCCAGGACAGAAACAGCATCTTGTGGCACAGAGGCTCCTTGGTTCACAGTGGAAGGTAGGTGTAGGGTGAGGAATGGGTGGGGGTGGCTCATGTGACTCCCAGAGTGATAGCAACCTGGGTCTCAAAGTTTCTTGAAAGATACAGAAACCAATTTGATGGCCTTATTTTATATTTTAAAATGATACTTGATTCATTTATTTTGTGTGGGTGGGGGAGGCGAGCACAAGTGTGCCACAGCTTAGGTCAGAGGACAACTTGAAGGAGTTGATTCTCTTTTTCATCATTTGAATCTAACTCAGGTCCTCAGGCTTGGGGGCAGGTGAATTTTCCCTCTGCACATCTTGCTGACTTGATGCCCTATTTTATTATTTTTGGGGGTCAAAGTCCCACTGAGTAGCCTAGGATAGTGTTAATCCTATAACAATCTTTTTAAATAATAATTGATTATTTTTAAAATTTTTAAAATTTTATGTGCATTTGGTGTTTTTCCTGTATGTATGTCTGAGTAAGGCTGCTAGAGTCCCTGGAACTGGAGTTACAGATAGTTGTGAGCTGCCATGCGGATGCTTGGAATTGAACCCAGGTCCTCTGGAAGAAGAGCCAGTAATCTTAACTGCTGAACCATCTCTCCAGCCCCTACGATATCCTTTGGCCTATGACATCCTACGATAATCTCTTGGCATCAGTCTACCAAGTGCTGGGATTGCAGAAAGCCATGATACTCCAAATGCAGGACAATCTGAATGCACGAACCATCCCCTCCCCACCACACAACAAAGGAACATAATTAAAATATTTTAGAGGTTTTGAACTCTCATATAATCCTCAAGCAGACATGAGGACATATAGCTTAAGTTTTCCTGCCTGGCCCACAGTCAGGACAAATCTCTATCACCTGCCAGTCCCACAGCCCCTCAGACCCAACCAAGTAAACACAGAGACTTGTATTGGTTTCAAACTGTATGGCCATGGCAGGCTTCTTGCTAACTGTTCTTACAGCTTAAATTAATCCATTTCCATTAATCTATACCTTGCCACATGGCTCGTGGCTTACCGGTATCTTCACATTCTGTTTCTCATTGTGGTGGCTGGCAGCGTCTCTCTGACTCAGCCTTCCACTTCCCAGCTTTATTCTCCTCCTTGTCCCGCCTACACTTCCTGCCTAGCCAATGGCCAATCAGTGTTTTATTTAATGACTAATCAGCAACACATTTGCCATACAGAACATCCCACAGCAAGGACAAGGCTTAGAGGCACACAGTCATCTTCTATGGTCCGGAGCTCCCCTGCTGCTCTGGATATAGCCCTGGCTGCTACTCCCCTTCATCAGGCAGAATCCTGCTTGGCTGTTCTCCCTTCTGTTTCAAAAATCTGTGTGGTACTTATTGGGGGACACTCTGGGGACACGTAGGTCACATACCTGTGCTCAGCTTCCAAGGTCTGTTGTGTGTCTTAGTTAGCTGTCTATTGCTGTGATAAAACTCCATGACCAAGATCAACTTGGGGAGGACAGGGTTAATTTCTTCTCACAGCTTGTACTCCATCAGCGAAGTCAAGGAAGAAACTTAAGGCAGGGATCTGGAGGGAGGAATTGAAGCAGGGGCAGTGGAGGAGTGCTCCTTACTGGCTTATCCCTTGTGGTTTGCTGAACCTGCTTTCTTATGGCACCCAGAACTATCAGCCCAGGGGTGGCACCACTCACAGTGAGCTGGGAGGCTACATCTCACTATGTAACTGAGGATGAAGCTCAGTTGATAGAGTGCTTGCCTAGCACACACAAACCCTGGGTTTGATCCCCAGCACTACTTAAAGTCGGTGGCAGCACATGCCTGTAATCCCAGGAGTTGGAAGATGGCCACAAAAGGATCAGCAGTTCAGGGCTACCCCACATACTGAGTTCAAGGTCAACCTGGGATATAGTACGTGAAACACTGTCTCAAGGGAGAGAAGAAGGGGAAATTAGATAGATAGATAGATAGATAGATAGATAGATAGATAGATAGATAGACAGACAGACAGATAGATATATGTGTGTGCATGTCTTGGTCTGTCAGTAGCTGGATTTAGCAAAGATATTAGTCTAGTTATTCCCAGTCTCACTCCATTTCCAGTGAATGGATCTACCCTTAAGTTCTCAAATCCAATCAGGTCAGGATTTCTGTCTTCTTCCTTGTTGTTTCCTTCTCCCTAGGGAGTGGACTACCTTCCACACAGCTTGTAAGCAGGAGAGACACACCTATTCACATGGCTTTGTTTGGACTTTAAAAAAGCCTTTTCAAAGGAGCATGGTGGTTGGTGGTGCATGCCTTTAATCTCAGCACTTGGGAGGCAGAGGTAGGTAGATGTCTGAGATCAGCCTGGTCTACATAGCAAATTCCAGGCCAGCCAGGGCTACATAATGAGACCCCCATCTCATAAATAGTAAATCAGTCAATCAATCAATCAATCAATCAATCAATTGATAAATAAATAAAGTTATCATTGGAGCTGAATTGTAAATGACCCAGACTGGGTTCTCAGCACCCACATGGCTGCTCACAAACATCTGTAACTCCAGCTCCAGGGGATCTGATGCCCCCTCTGGCCTCCTCAAGCACCAGGAAAGCTGGTAGTTAAGCGGTCACATATGACGGCAAGAAGCACTGCCTCCTTCAGGCCCTGTAGCCCAAGGTCATGGGTGGAGCAAATACTACCACATTTCCCCTTTTTGTCTAAATAAGAAGGTTCTAAGCCTAATGTAAACTATATACAATAAGAATGACTATCAGGTATTGTCCAGGAGAAACAAAGGGTAATAACATAAACAAAAATGGAACTACAACCAACAAGAACAAGGTCAAACAAGAGACACATGCTCAATGTCCAGAAATGTCCAGGTCATAGGTAAATGGCAAATTACTGAGATTACTCCAATAGCTGTCCTATCCTGAAGAATCTAACTCTAGCACCTAATATGTTCTTAGCTAATACATGAGAGGATTGTAACTGTAACTATCTAGTCTTCAACTCCATCAAAGACCTGAGAAGGAAAATATTACCTGAGAAAACAGGAAGTGAGAGCAAGCAGCTTCCAAAAAATTGCTAGAATAGACAGAGACAGCTGGCAGCCTGGACAGTCACCTAAAGATTCTCAGCACCATTGGGGGCATCCATTTTGACTACAGGCCTAGAATATCTGACAGACCATTTTCAGAAGCAGGAATTTTGAAAGACCATCTTACCCTGTCTTGGCAAGGTTCAGTAGTCGCTTTTCCTTGTGTCCTGCTCGTCTGGAAAGGACAGCAATCATACCGTCAGCAGTCAAGGCAAGGGCAGTTCTTTGCCCAGCAGACCATTTTGTGCCAAGAAGAAGACAAACTTCCATACAGAGTGTCTTTGAAGCTCAACATTCTCTCAGGAGTAGATGAGTACTGCCAGGAGCAATTGTGTCTCATGTCAACAGAATTCTAAGTTATCAAAACATTTAAATGCCATATTCTCTAGGTCTATGAAGTGTTTGAAGATTACCTATCCATCTGACATATATTTCTGTAAATCTGGAAAACTTAACTAACATAACTGTAGATATGATAATCATGGGTGACTATTAATGTGTAAATTTTATCTACTTAAATAACCCAAGGACTAAGGCTTTACATATCAAGGTAAACAATCTGTAAATAGATGTACAGTATAAGGACTAAATTGTGACAATATACAAAATATCTTAAACAGAGGTAGAAATGTATAGTGCAATATGTTAACAATAACCTAAATATGTATCAATATACAAAATATCCTAAGCAAAGGTAGAACACACAGACAATATGACAATTATAATTTTACATTTATATCAATATACAAAATATTTCAGATAGGAGTAGGAATATGTGTACAATATGACAATTATAGTTTTGAATTTGTATCAATATACAAATTATCTTAAATAGGAGTAGAAAAATAGTTTGCATTTGTATCTATATATAAGAATCCATATCAGTGCAAATTATCTAAGGCTGATAGTTTGCTAAATTAGTTTACTAGTATATACAAAAATCTACCTTAATATACTATACCTATCTATTCCCCTTTTTTCTTTTCCAAAAAAGAATCATGAGTCTAAGTTTTATTGTCCTCCCCCCCAACCCTATAACCCTGAGATAATGAAAACTTTTGGGAGAGGGGCATTGTTTTCTTAAAATTGCTTCCTGCTGTTTAGGGGCTGATGGTATCTCTGCAGGATCCTGTAAGAAAGCCAAATGGTTAAGTCTCAATAGTAATAGTTGTAATGTTTGTAGCCAGTCTCAGAGTAACAGGTAAGGTTATCTCAGATTCTGGCTAGAAGTGTAATATGATGGACCATCTCATCTTGGAACTGTCCTGAAGAGTTTGCAGTCCAAAGCTGATCATTGAGTAGTGTTTTTTGGCTCAATGGCATCATTATGGACCAGGCAGAGTCATTGTTGTGGAGCCCCATCTTCCTTCTGGATGACTTCAGAGATTGCTATTGGAAAGACTTATTTTTCACTGGGGAAAACTTGAGAGGAGAGAAATGGCTCAGTGGTTAAGAATACTGACTGATGTTCCAGAGGAACCGGGTTCAATTCCCAGATTGTCTTGTGTCCAATCACGCTTGATAAAAAAATTAAAAAATAAAAAGAAGGGACCATGTGACCTCTCTTTCTTCTCTCTTTTAAGAGGTCACATACAATGGCAAAAAGCACCGCCTCCTTTGGGCCATATAGCCCAAAGTCATGAGCGGAGCAAATACCACTACAGGTAGTATACATACATGTTGGAATCTGCCCACAAGTCAACTGGGTATCTGGGTAGAAGCGTATGGACTGTAGAAACAATGAAGAAGACAGAACAGAGTCGAGAGGACTGCCAGTCACTGCCGGACAGCCCCGAGTTTATTTCACAGCCAGCTTATATACAATCTTGAAGGAAGAAGTAGAACAATGCACAGCCCAGACATTCAGCCACTATCTATCCTGTCTTTGCATCAAAGAGCAGGTTGTTTCATTTTCTATCTGGATGTACCTCTGGCTGGTGTCAGCAGCCTGCGGATAGCTAAATAGTATGTTCCTCCCTGTGGGCTAATCAGGACTTTCTCAAAGCCCTTCAAGGAGACTCTGTGGGCTAATCAGGACTTTCTCACAGCCCTGAAGCAAGCAAGCCTGAACTCTATTGACTCAGAATAGACTTCAGATTCAAACTGGGGCACAGTCAGTTGTGGGCTCCCACAATTCCTCCTTTTTTATTTATTTAAGATCCCACTGAGTCTTTCAGATGACTATGCCTGTCTTAGGTTGTTCCTTGCCACACTCCAATCTTACCCATCATGGGAGCATGAATTCCATCATCATGTCTTGTCTTAGGTTGAAAGGAGGCAAGGAAAACTCACTCTTTGGCTACCAGCCTCTGGTATCATAAGTCAGTGGAATGTGCAGAGTTTTACTTCATGGAGTTCCGAGCCCAATCTCCATAATGAGTTCATAATCAGCTTGAAAATCATAGGCAAACAGATTATGCCTACTAAGACACATGATCCAATAACTACAGTACTATTAAGAGCAAAGTAAATGATGACCACGATAGAGTAACCTTTTTGAATTGTTCTAAAATATCTTCAGCTGTTTTAGCTGTGTCAAAAATCCAATTCAGCCTTTTTCATTTCTATAATCTCTTGATGTAATTTAGCCAAATCTAAGGATTCATTAGAATCATGCCAAATTCCTTTAAGATGTGCTTTAACTCTTTCCCATCCAATAGCACTTTCATTATATACAAGAGATGTAACACAAATTCATTCATAATTAGCATGACATTTCAAATGCACTATTGTTTTCAGGCTTTGGAGTTCATCTCCCAGAAATTGTACCACATCATACAAAACATTCAATTTCTGTTCCATTTTCACATCTATACCTTCTTGAATCTCTAAGGTCATAGGAACATTTATAGACAATTGATTAACAAAGGCTGCTGTCTGAATGGATTGAGACAAAGGCCACTGAAGCAACAGTAGTAGTAGCAAGCATAGTAACAAGAGCTGCAAATCCTGCTATAACTAATCCAGCAACAGGCTTCTGTCTGTAACCATGTAACCCTTTATTATCAAACCATGGATCACTCATATATACTGGCAATATCACAAAAGAAGGTTGTTTTAACACTATTACATGAGTATGATTATCCGTTTGAGAAATACAGTTAGTCAAAATATAATT